CCCGTGTCCCCTGCATCGGCAGGCGGACTCTCAACCACTGCGCCACCAGGGAAGCCCCTAATTCTTGATGGGGTTTCAGTTCTCTCCTACATTCACTGATGCAACAAATATTTGCCGTGTCCAGGATCTGCTATTTTATGGCTTTACATCTGTTGTCACATGCAATCCTTATTGGGTAGTTATAATTAGTTTCATTATACCAATGAGAAAATGACATTCAGAGAAGTTGTTATCCACTTAGTTCATTTTTTTCCCACAGGAAATAAGCAGCAGAGGTAGGATTTCAACCCCAGTCTGATGGCTTCTGAAGTATATATACTTTCCTCCTAATCATAATGACTCAAAGCTTTACTGACTGTAATTCCCCTCATCCTGTTTACACTGATCTTCTAGGAAAGTCTGCTGCAAGGGGTCCTGGCCCTTCTCTCTTCCTCACTAGGTTGATCCTAAACTCCTGCACTGAAAGCGGAAGGGTGCATCAACATCTGAATAAGCCTCAGATCACAGGGTTAGCTCCTGACTCATGCACATCATTCCAACCTTTCACAGGATAAAGTGCTGTTAGGCTCCGTAGCCATTCACAAGAAGGGAACTTTTTTTTTTTTCCCATCAGGAAACTTTCATGAGCTTTAGTTCGTATTAAATGAGCAAATTCACCTCTAGGAAGAATGATTCCACATGCCAATATTTACCAATTTCATGGGTAGCCCGCCACTGCTTTGACACATTTGTAAATTTCTGGGAAATTTTCTTATAAATGTCTCTTCTTTACTCCTACTCTTTAATTCCATCTGTTGTATCTGTGGTTCTCTACCTCTCTGAAACCACTGCATATTATGAACTGTAGGAATTTCTGGCTGCATACCAACACGCCAACAATAATTACAATACAATCTCTACTAAATTATCACAGTGGTTTACGACGTAAAAGCAGGCATGGTTGCCACACTTAGAAAAGTGACTGTGTTTGAGTAAAATGATTACCTCTCTGCCTGTGTTCTCACGATACAAGTCCCAAGTGCCAGGAAACATCTTATATGCATACAGTGATGGCCCTTGTCCTCCACTGGGTTGCATGGCTACTCAGGTCAGTGTTCCATATAACATATAATAGTATATATATCCTGTTATGACAAGAACACATTGTGTACATTTATCAAAATGTGGCAGTAGGCTGGTTGAGAATGTCATATATATTGTGAAAGGGTCATTTTAATTAATTAAGAATAAAATTCAGTACAGCAACTAATTCTTTGTAATCAGTTCAACTACTAAAAATGAATTATGCACTTTATGATTGTTTTGATGACCCAGAGGCTGCCTGGAGGGTTGGATAAAAAATACAGTTTGGGGCTACTGATAGCAAAACAACTAAAGGTGGGATTTGAGCTACAAAGTCTCT